GCATGTCATTGTTTACAAACAAGCGTCTACCCATGAGCCTTTGCATTTTTAGCGTGTGTTGTAATCGTCGCTTGGGACTCAATTTTCACGCATGCGCAGGTGACAACCCTCTCGCTTTAACCAAAGCCATTTTTAGATTCAACTTTATTTTTTTCAAAGAACTTTTGATCTCGGCCTGTTATTTATGGCTATATCTCTAAAACCGTTGCACTCACCTTTACATGGTGGTATGACCTCTTCTTTCTTGTCATAATGATCTTTATGTACTTTCATATGGCACCCTTCAAAGACAGAACAATTCAAATTTGAAAATAAGATTTTACCAAAGCTTCCATGAAATGGGTAGACAGAATGGCTGCCAACTTTTTCACCGCCAGTTCTCTTTTTTCATCACAAATATACGTTTATAGTCTGCACTTCCATTTAGAAGATTGGGACAAAAATAGCCAAATTTTTTGAGTAAAAATTGAGAAATTTTGTTTCTTGACTCCAAAATGAGGGTTCATTTCCAGTAAATATTGAAGAATATAAAAAAAAAATTTCATTTCCAGTAAATATTGAAGAATATAAAAAAAAGTTTCATTTCCAGTAAATATTGAAGAATATAAAAAAAAATGTAGAAAAATTTGTGGAGAAAAGGTTAAAGAAGATTCCAGTAATCCTGATGAAAATCCAGTATTTGTTCCAACAAAGAAATTGTGACTTGTTATGTGCAATAAGAACAGGAACAACACAGGACTGACAGGATGAAATTATCTCAAATCAAATACAGCATGTTCGGTGGTTTGCGAAGAATATACTCTTAGTTGTGAACAATCGACTTAGAAGGTCAAACCAACTAACTCTCTGTTGCAAAGCAAACTAATCACGCATGACCAGGTTGAAATTTGTACTAAATATGAATGAGATCATCTCTGGCTGGTCTAAATAAACAACAGAAATATAACATGAACGAATCTGAATACAATAAAAATAGTGATACTCACTCCTGCATTCTAAGGCTGTGGGGGGTTTGATGATACCGCCCAATGGTTTCCTGCATGATTCACAACCAGTTGGCATGTGAAAATGTACCGTTAGAAATTCATGGTTCTTGAACTGAATCATCTCCTTGTCCTGTGAACAGCAAAATAAAATAAGTCGATTGGTGCTTTGTTATACAACAGTTTGCGATCGGATATTACACACTGGTTTTTCACTAAACAGACAACCTTTAACTCATGACTGCCTGTCTTGTAATGGAGTTCAACTCTGAAAATTCAGATGAGGAAATGTTTGGAGAATGCTTTACTGCAGATCTTACCAATATAGGCGGCAAGTCTTGGGCGTTGTCTCGTTCCTTTTTGCTTTCTCCTTCCCCGGCGTACAATAATTGAAAGATACGTGGAATGTCTTTAGCATCTGCACGTATGACATCACCCTGGGTTACTGACCTTACATGGTATAGTTTACTGCAAAGGAAGCAGATTTCGATGGCGTTGTCAGTGGCAATAGACTTAACAGAACATTGTGAGGCATATCATTTTTTCGTTTTTAATACACAAATTCATACATAAGGCATATTACACAATAAATCAGATGTATTACACCATGAATAAGGTATATTTGAATACAAAATGTATGAAGTTGAAATCAATTCTTTTCAAGAGTGTTTAATTTCACTGACAAGTATGGACTCTTCACTAAAGAAATGTCATGAGCGCAAGGCTTATAGAGGAACATTGACCCCCCAACAGCAAAGGCATGTCATAATCTCACCCTATCACAATGATACCAACGATAACAAGACAGACGTTGTACATCATACTTACTCAATGTCTAACACCATTTCTGGATTTGATGCTTGTTTTTCCCCTTCGTCATTATAAAATAAAATTTTGCGACTACTAACAACCACGTACTGTTTCTTCCAACCATAACGTTTAATATTCTGACGATTTGGTAACGCCAACCAGCCTTCAACTCGTGAAGAATCTGTACATGACAATGGAAAATAATTTAAATAATTTCATCACATTAGCATTTTGACAAAATAAATAAAATGCAAAAAATTCAAAACACTACAAACTTGTTTACAATAGCCTACAATAACTAATATTGAAACCTCTTAACCCTGTTTCACCACCAGCTCCTTCTTTTCATCACAAATTCACAAAATAGTCCTGTTTATAGTCTGCACTTTCCTTCAAAAGATTGGGACAAAAATAGCCAAATTTTTTGAGCAAAAACTGAAAATTTACTCAAATTTTGTCTGTTGGCCCTAAAATTAGGATTCATTTCTAAAAATATTGGAGATTAAAACTTTAAAATTTGGGCAAGAAAGTGGTGGAAGGTTACGGTAGTTCAGTACATTATCGCACATACTGATATGGAATTTAAGATTTTATGAGTTTATTTATTAAAGGAATTGAAGACTGTGTACTTATATACTGTAGAATACTTTATTTCCGCTTGGAATTTATTTTCGCTATTTTCGCTGAAGGTGTAATTCAGTGAAAATAAAATCCAGTGAATATACCTTTTTTCCTATATTTAACATTCAACTCATCAAAAATCAGTGAAAATACATTCCATAAAAAACACCCAAAAACCTTTTCAGTGAAATTTAATTCAAGCTAAAATAAAGTATTTTACAGTAATAAGATAATTTGATATTCAGATGCATACATATTATTAGTTTGTAAAGTATTTACCTGTGATGCCTTCTTCAGAGTCCAAGTCCATACCACTATTAATGCTGGCAGTGTCGCTATTCAGGGCTTGTAATTTAAAAGAAATCTGTTCTATTTCACTGTCTTTACTATCAAGCTCCATCTGCAGTTGCATTTTCTTCTGGTACTCTTCTTGATATGCCTGGGTAATGTAATATCAATCAATTCAGCTATTGTTAAGCGGATCATGAAACAAATGCACATATCTATTTCTGACATGATGTACCATGTGTGTGTGAAGTTTGAACTTGATCAATCCAGACATGTCTCGGATACGGATCCAGAACTGAATTCTTTAAAACAAATTGGCCGCCAGTCGGCCATTTCAAACTAGATCCAAAAAAAAAATGACGTGCATCAAGGTCCTATTATGTTTAATGTATGTACCAAATTTGAACAAAATCCGTCTATGCATAACTGAGATCCGGGTCCGGAATGGTGAAAATGACCGATTTCAATGCATTTTCGGCCTTAAAGCGGCCGCCATTTGGTT